TGATGATGATGATGATGATGATGATGATGATGATGATGATGATGATGTTTTTGTTGATGCTGATGGTGCTGCTGCTGCTGCTGATGATTCTCATGATGCTGATGTTGGATGATGATGCTGCTCTGGATGATGTGTTGATGGTGGTGGTGATGGTTATGATGCTGCTGATGATGTTGATGATGCCGATGATGATGACGATGATGATGCTGATGATGATGCTGACGATGATGATGATGATGATGATGATGATGATGATGATGATGATGATGATGATGATGATGATGATGATGATGGTGATGACGATGATAATGCTGATGCTGATGCTGATGATGCTGTTGCTGATGATGATGATCATGCCGATGCTGATAATAATGGTGCTGCTGATGATGCTGCTGATGATGACGAAGAAGAACACAATGTTGTTGTTGATTGTGATGGTGATGGTGATGCTGATGATGACGATGATGATGCCGATGATGATGATGATGATGATGATGATGATGATGATGATGCTGCTGATGATGTTGATGATGCCTGCTGATGATGTTGATGATGCCGATGATGATGACGATGATGATGCTGATGATGCTGATGCTGATGCTGATGCTGATGCTGATGATGATGACGATGATGATGACGATGACGATGACGACGATGATGATGATGATGATGATGATGATGATGATGATGATGATGATGATGATGATGATGATGATGATGAGGATGAGGATGAGGATGAGGAGAGGATGAGGATGAGATGGAGGAGAATGATGAGGATCAGATGAATGATGATGATGATGATGATGATATGATGATGATGATGATGATGATGATTATGATGGATGATGATGATGATGATAGATTATAGATGATGCTGATGGATGATGGTGGAGGAGGAGGAGGAGGAGTGGGAGGAGGAGATGATGAGGAAGGAGGAGGCAGAGGAAGGAGGAGGAGAGGAGGAGGAGAGGAGGAAGAGGAGGCCGGAGGAGGAGGAGGACGAGAGGATAACGAGGAGGAGGCGGAGGAGGAGGAGTGAGAGGAGGAGGTAGGTGAGGAGGAGAGGAGGAAGGAGGAGGAGGAAGGAGGCAGGAGAAGAAGAGCACGCTCAAGGAGGAGCGAGAGAGGAGGAGGAGAGGAGGAGGGAGGAGGAGGAAGGAGGAGGAGGAGGAGGAGGAAGCAAGAGGCGCAGGAGGAGGAGGAGGAGGAGGAGAGGAGGAGGAGGAAGGAGAGGAGGATGAGGAGGAGGAGGAGGCGGATAATAGGAGGAGGAGGAGGAGGAGGAGGGAAGAGGAGGTCGGAGGAAGGAGGAGGAGGAGGAGGAGGAGGAGGCGTAGGAGGAAGCGGAGGAGGAGGCGAGGAGGAGGAGGAGGAGGGAGGATGAGGAGGAGGAGGAGGAGGAGGGAGAGGAGAGGAGCGGACAGGAGGAGGCGGACGGAGGAGGAGCGTGAAGGAGGAGGAGGAGAGGAGGAGGAGAGAGGAAGGAGGAGCAAGAGGCCAGGAGGAGGAGGAGGAGGATGAGAAATAGTAAGAGAGGAAGGAGGAGGGAGAAGGGATGAGGAAGGAGGAGGAGAGGAGGAAGGAAGGAGAGGAGGAGGAGGCGGAGGCGGAGGCGGAGGCGAGGTGGAGGAGGAGGAAGGAGGAGAGGCGGTGAGGAGAGGAGGAGGAGGGAGGAGTGAGAGGGAGGAAAGGAGGAGGAGGAGGAGGAGGATGAGGAGGAGGAGGGAGAGGATAAGCCGTCTGTCTCCTCGGGGCGAGGCCCAGGCTGGCCTGGGGCCGGGGCTGGGGCCGAGGCCCGGGCTGGCCCTGGGCGGCGGCGGGGGCCAGCGCCGGGGCCGGAGCTGGGGCCGAGCTGGGGGGAGCGAGGTCCTGAGCCTCCATGCCGACAGGGGTACCACCCCCCCGGCCTCCCTCTCCACAGGGGGGGGGGGCGCCTGTGTGGGGGTCACGACCCGCGGGACCACACCTGGGACCCCCCGCCCGGGACGCACGCCCCACCCGGAGACCACCCCCCAGGCCCACCCCAGGGACCCCCGCCCGCCCGGTGGGGAAGGGACAAGGGAAGGGGCCACCATTCGACGTACTTACGACACTGCTCGATCCCCCTTCTATGTTCGATCTCCCCTGCGACGACGATTCGATGGGTACTGGCGTACTTCAGTTCGGGTTGGGCTGGCCTCGCGTCGAAGTGCCTATCACACACGCTGACTGTGTCGCTGGATTAAACGAGATCGCGATCGGTTTTCCCCACCTCCCCATTTTGCTTGTTCCTTGGCGACGGTGTTTCTAGGCTGTGTTTCTGGCGCCTATTCCCCCTGCCCGTGGATGCCCTCCTTCCCAGTGCACTCTTCAGACGTACCATGACATCCGCCGCAGGCGTTTCAATCGCGACCAGCTGCTGGGGCTAGCACGGGCTCGCCTCCAACAGCTGGTTCGGAGAGGCCCACGAGCTTAGGGCAGTGATAGGGCGACGTTGACCTGGGGGGCAGTATTTGTCCGCCCATTCTGCTCCTCCCTCTTCCCGTGTACGGAAAACGCCCGGGCAAGAATTGTCACTGGCAGCTCGTTGTGCCATCTTGTAGGTGCCCCGCGTCTCTCTCTTTCTCCCAGGCCGATGTTCTCTGCAGGAGATCGCCTGTTGCGGGTAGGCTCGTGCGGAGTTCTTGGCCTGACTCTTCCACGCTTTTGCCGTTCATTCCTTGTCTACCCCTCCTCCTAGGTCTGCTTGCCTTTTCTCTCGGGGTGTGGCTTGTCGCTGGCCCATGATGAGTTGGCGCCCCCCACAGTGGCGCAGAATGCCCTCCCCGATTGCCGCACTCAGTTTTTTCTTCTCCATATAACCTTCTCTAATTTCTCTTGTGGCGCTGACCTCTCTTCTTGGGGTGGGGGGCAGGATTTGTCCGAACATTCTGCTCTGTAGATCGCTTGTGGCTTGCCTCGCTCACCATTGCTGGGGTAGCCCTCTTGAGGGGCAGCAGACTTCATCTTCTCAATTGTTGTTTTTCTCTGATCTTCTCTTTTCGAATCGTCTTCCTTCCCTTGTCCGCCCTTCTCTTGCGGGCCAGTGTCGCTCCTTCTCCTCCTCCTCGTCCTCCTCCTCCTCCTCCTCCCTTCTCCTCCTCTTCCTCCCATGTCTTCCTCCCTCGCCTTATCGTAGTTGTCGTCGTCGTCATTCTCCTCCTTCTCTTCCTCCACCTCTTCCTCTTCTGCTCCTTCCGATCCTCTTTCTCCCCTTCCTCCTCCGTCTCTTCCTCCTCCTCCGTCTCTTCCTCCTCCTCCGTCTCCTCCTCCTCCTCCTCCTCCGTCTCCTCCTCCGTCTCCTCCTCCGTCTCCTCCTCCGTCTCCTCCTCCTCCTTTCTCCTCCTCTTCCTCGTCGTCCTCCTCCCTTCTCCTTCTCGCCCTTATCATCCTCCCTCCCCTCGTCCTCCTCGTCGTCCTCGTTGTCGTCCTCCCCTTCATCTTCCTCCTCCTCCTCATCATCCTCTTTCTCATCTTCCTCCTCCTCTTCCGTATCGTTCAATCCAGGATCGATGCTGCGTGGGTGCAGACTTGTGGGTGTTCTAAGCTCTTGTCGGGCATCCTGAGGCGCCCGGGTGCCCCCGAGGGTCGTTGTCGTCACCGCCAGCGTCGTCGCCGCTGGCGTCGTCGCCGCTGTCGTCGTCGCCGCTAGCGTCGTCGTCATCGTCGTCGTCGTTGTTGTCGTCGTCGTGGACGTCGTCGTGGTCGTTGTCGTCGTCGTCGTCGTCGTCGTCGTCGTCGTCGTCGTCGTCGTCGTCGTCGTCGTCTTGGTCGTCGTCGTCGTCGTCGTCGTCGGCGTCGTCGTCGTCGTCCTCCTGGTCGTGGTCGTCGTGGTCGTCGTCGTCGCCGTCGTCGTCGTTCGACATCGTGGTCGTGGTGGTGGTTGTGGTGGTGGTGGTCGTCGTCGTCGTCGTTGTGTTTCAGCGTCGTCGTCGTCGTGTTTCAACTTCGTCGGCGTCGTCGTCGTCGCCGTCTTCGTCCGACGTGATTGCGCTCGTCGTGGTCGTCGTGGTCGTCGTGGTCGTCGTGGTCGTCGTGGTCGTCGTGGTCGTCGTCATCGTCGTCGCCGTCGTCGCCGTCGTCATCGCCTTGGTCGTGGTCGTAGTCGTGGTTGTGGCTGTTGCCGTCGTCATCGTCGTCGTCGCCGTCGTTGTGGTCGTCGTGGTCGTGGTCGCCGTCGCAGTGGCCGCCGTCTTCGTCGACGTCGTCGTCGTCGTCGTGGTCGTCGCCGTCGCCGTCGTCGTCCTCGACGAATTTGCCGTCGAAGTGTGCGTAGCGGTCGGGGCCAGAGGAGGACGAGGAGGAGGGGGGAGGAGCAGGAGGAGGGGCAGGGGGCGGTGGAAGGGGGGATGGAGGGAGGATGGAGCAAAGGCAGGGGGCGGGTGTTGGTGGGTGGATCGAGGTCGGGCGCCTCATCGTTCTCCTTCCTCCTGCTCGTCGCCCTCGCTTCCTCCAGCTCCTCCTCCCTTCCCTTCCCTTCCCTTCCCTTCCCTTCCCTTCCCTTCCCTTCCCTTCCCTTCCCCTCCTGCTGCTACTCTTCCACCTCCTCCACCTTTCCCCCCCCGGCTCCTCCTCTTCCCCCTTTCCCCCTCCTGTTCTTCTTCCATCTGCGATGCAGTAGCGCCTCCTCCTCCTACCCCTCCCTCGTCTCCCTCAACCTCCCGGCCGAATCCTCCTCCTTCTCCATCTCCTGACTCTCCTTGTTTTCCTCCCCTCAGCCCTTCCCTCTGCCTGCCTCCCCCACCCTTCATCCTCATCCTCGTCCACGTCATCCCCCTCATCCTCCTCGTCCTCGTCCCTCTTGTCCTCCGTCATCGTCGTCGTCGTCCTCCTCCTCCTCCTCCTTATCCTCGTCCTCCTTATCCTCGTCCCTCTCGTTCTCCGTCCTCGTCCTCCTCGTCCTCCTTCTCCTTCTCCTCCTCCTCCTCGTCCTCCTCCTCCTCGTCCTCCTCCTCATCGCCCTCCTCCTCGCCAGGAGAGCCATGGGGGATGCCGCCGACCGCGTGCGCGTCCTCGTGCGCGTCTCGGCGGCGGGCCACGCGGCGGAGGCGCTGCCGCCGCCCGGGGGCGTGCCCTCTGCCAGGAGGGGCGGGGGCGCCGTCGCGCGGGCAGGCCTCGCCGCCGTCGGAGCCGTCCCCCGAGGCCCCGGCGGGGCATGGCGCGCTGTCGAGGCCCGAGGTCTGCGGGCGCTCCGGGCTCTCGCACGTCCTCGCCGGCTCCAGGAGGTGCTCCGGCCTCAGAGCGCTTCCCGGCAGCCGCGCCTCGCCGAGCGCGTCCCGGGGGTGTCCGAGGCCTCCCGAGCCGCTGCCGGAGAGCCGAGCTGCGGTCAGCAGCTTTGGCTTAGGACGTCGCGCCGCCGGGTTTGGCCCAGTTGCCGGTTCTTCATTCCTGATGCTTACCTCTCTCTTTCTGCTGTTGCTGCTGCCGTCCATGCGATTCTCTGAGCTGTCGCACGTTTGGTCGTGGACCTGGCAAGTGATACGAGTCTGTAACTTTCGTATCAGTCTTCCCCTCCTCCCTTTCTGTTCCTTCCTCGCCCCTTCATTGCTCCTTGATGCTGGCGCTGCTGCGCGATGTTAGTGAAGTCGATTTTTTCCATCGTCCAAGCCATCCCAAACCTTAGCGGGACAGTGTAAGTTACTGTCAGGTTTTTTGTCTTCGCGTGTCGCGCCGTTGGTTCTGGCCCACCACGCGTCGGCGCGACACGCTGACCACTTTCCCATTCCCGAGCGTCAACGTCGCGAGCCTTTTTCAGCTTCCCAGCCCGCGGAGCAGAGCGACACGCTGTCCGCTCGCAGGGACCACGACGACGACGACGACGACAACGGCGGCGGCGGCGACGACGAGGACGTGGGCCAGAGGGATGCTTCTTGAGGTCTCTTCGGAAGGCTCTCGGGGGCCTCTGTTTTTTGGCAACGTGGCTCCTCGGGGATCTGGACCCCCTTCCCCGGGACCCTACTTCCCTCCCGAGCTGTTTTTTTTTGACGGTCCGTGGGCCCCGGCGAGAGGGCCGCCGGAGGCCGAAACACGTGCCCAAAGCTGCCCGCGCTGAGATCTCTTCTCGCCACGAGGCCAGAGACCCCCGACGTGTCGTGAGGTTTTTTCACAACGTGGACCTCCCGAGGTCCGGGTGCTTCCCCGGGGCCCGCTTTCCGTCCTCAGGCGCCCCAGGATGAAACAAAAACGATTGCTTCTGGGACGGTCCCCGGCCCCAGAGGCCGAACCGGCGAAACACCTCGCGCCGTGACTTCGTCGCAGCGCGAGTGGAGTCAGGGCGAGGGCGGGGAGGCGGGGGCTCCCCTGGACGGCGTGGGGGGGCAGGTGGATGGCCAAGCTCGCCCCCCTGCTGCGCCCCGCCGACGACGCGCCCGGCGCCTTCGCGTGCTGCCTCCCGGGCACCCTGGCGGAGGCTCCCTCGCGGGCCGCCGTCGGACGCCGCCGCGGGCCGCCGCCGTCGGAAGGCCGCCGCCGACGAGCCGCCGGCGGCCCAGGCCTCCGACGACCTGGGGTTCTGCGATTCGTTTCGTCTCGAGCTCGGCCCTCCAGGGGCCCGTGGTCTGGGGCCCTCGGGGCCATCACGAGTGGGTCGGGGGCGCAGAGCCATCGGCTGCGCGCAAGAGGGACCCCTCGCCAGAGCGACCTCTTGGTGCGGCCCACGAGGTTCCCGCCAGCACCTGGCTGGCCAAGCGTGGGTCGCGCGCATCTGGTCCCCCCCCGCTGCACGCGGAAGCCGCGCACCAAAGGTCGCTCTTGCCCAGGGTCACTCATCCATGCAGCCGAACCCACCCCCAGGGAAGGGGGCGGGGTCTCTGGGGCCGCGGAGGGAACAACTCACGTCGGCGGATGCCAGCGGCTGTCGGCCGCCGCCGCTGGCCGCCGCCGCTGACGAGCCCTGCGATCCTGGCGTCGCACACTTTTTGCACTGGGCGATTCCGTCCTGCTTCGGGCGCCGGGGCTTCACAGATCAATCCAGCTCGAGAAGTGTCTCGGGAAGATGCGGTCCAGGGCTCTGGTCGCGATTTCTCACGATGATGTACTTTTTTCGCGGCGTCGGATCTCAGGGAGGTTCGAGGTTTTTCGGCTTCTCTGGAGGTCCTTCTCTCCGCGCTCGGAAAAGTGGCCAGGATGGATCCCAGGAAGGCTTTTTTTGGATCGATCTTGAGCGAATTTTGTTCGCAGTCGCCACCGCCGTCGCCGCCGCCCCACCGCCGTCGTCGTCGTGGCCGTCGTCGACGTTGTCGGCGTCGGCGTCGGCGTCGGCATCGGCGTCGGCGTCGGCGTCGGCGTCGGCGTCGTCGTCGTCGTCGTCGTCGTCGTCGTCGTCGTCGTCGTCGTCGTCGTCGGCTCCGCCGGCTGGGTCCGCGCCGTCCTCGGACCACCCCGCCGCCGCCGTCGTTGCCGTCGCCGCCGCCGTCGTTGCAGCCGCCGCCGTCGCCTTGGTCGACCACGCCCCGCAGCGACTCCTCGACCTCGCACTTGAAGTCTGACTCCGTGACGTGCAGCCGCCACGCGGCCGGCGGCAGCTGGACGCCCTCGCAGGCGGAGGCGTTTGGGTGTTCTTATGGACTTTGTTCGGACATCGGGGTCGCCCTCGATACCTCGGCCAAGACCTGGTCATGGCGCGCAGGAGAGATGGGGGTCGTCGCCATCGTCGCCGCCGCCGCTGCTGCCGGCGCCGGCGTCGGCGTCGGCGCCGGCGTCGGCGTCCTCGTCGTCGTCGTCGTCGTCGTCGTCGTCGTCGTCGTCGTCGTCCGTCGTCGTCGTCGTCGTCGTCGTCGTCGTCGTCGTCGTCGTTGTCGTTGTCGTCGTCAACGGCGTCGTCGTCGTCGTCGTCGCCGTCATCGTTGCTG